ATGCGCGGCCGGGGACACGGAGCGCCCGCGCCGTGCGGGTCGCCAAGGCGAATCCTGCGGAACGGGATTCCGCACGGGAATGCCGGCAAAGCTGCGGCTCCCCGTGCGCCCGGCTCCCCTGCAGTGCTTCCTGCCTCCGGGAATGCCATAGGGATGCAGTGGGATGCAGCCCATCGCCAGCCCCGCAGGAACCAGTGGATCTCGCTGGGAGCTGAAAGCAAAGCACGAAGCAGCCGTTTTCCCCCCGTCTTGCCCCAAATTCCCCTCTCCGCTGGGAATCTCCGCCCGTGGCCGCTCCTGCCCTGTGCCCTTGGCCAGCCCTGCTGGTCTCACTGGACCTCTTTGCATTCCCCCAAATTAAATGAGCGATTCCCAGCGCTGGGGCTCGGGAAGCAAAGGGCTCCACAACGCACAGCCCCGGAGCAGCGACATTCACACAATACGAGCCACCACCCCCGCTTAAATCAACTACTGCTTCCTTTTATATGGTTTCTCGTAACAAATTCTCCAATATTCCTCTGAAATCTCCTAGCCCCGGACAACTGAATGGAGATTTTACTGCCCATGTGCCTCTGATTACAAAATATTACCACTAATGATAATTGCCTGGATTACCCTTATCTGTGTTTTTGGCTAATAAAGCATAAAAAAGGACCACCAGTGAAGCCGTAATAAAGTGCAGCTGTTGAAGCACGGCCCGTTTCTAGGTCAGGGTGCGTTTGGGAGAGGCCGGGGGGACGGTCGCGGGGCCGCGGTACCGAACCAGGAATGGGGGGGAAGCTGCCCTTAATCTGTGATTTCTAGCCCCGAAACGGTGCTGGGAGGCCGAGGGGGGGTGCAGCTCCGCAGCGGCGTTCCCGGCCGCGCCGCGTTCCCGCTCGGCGCGGAGCAGGGAAGCAGGGAGAGCGCCTGGCCCTCCGTTGGGATGCAGCCTCGTGGAGCGTGAAGCATAAGCTGGTTAAGAGCAGCAGCTGCCTGCAGGTGCCACAGGGCAGATGGGGATAAAAAAATCCATATTTGAGAAAATTAGGAAGAGGGGGAGAGTTTCCAAGGCTGGGAAGCAGCGAGGGGGCTGAATAGAGCAGCCTTGTGTGTCCCTGAAAACCCCTCCTGAAAAGCAGCAGGTTGAGCAAGATGGGACCAAAAGGGGACACGGCCACCCGCTCTGTGCCCAGGGGGGACCCTGGGTCCCTCCTGCAGCACCGCAAGGTCCCCCCGAAGCAGAAACCCCGCGAGCCGGGGTCTGCGGGGAGAGGTTCTCTCCCATTACGCCAACGAAGACAAATTGAGGAAAAAAGAAAGAAAAAAAACCCCATGATTTCAGACACACAAGCACTTCTTTCAGGCTTAACAGAATGCTGGAAGAAAAAGTTAATGTATCTTTCATGAGGACAATCTAGATAATAAGCAACACAATTCCCGAGCACAAGCTGGGGAGGTTTTTTTCCTTCTTTTCTTCTTCTTTTTTTTCTAAATAATCAAGAATTTCTTGTCGTCGATAGACAACCAAAGTAAAACTTGAGTCACCAAACATTCCCCGGATAGAAACACGGTGTAACCTCATGTGCTAAGTGGGTATAGGAGATTTTACTTTCAGATTTGGGCAGAAACAACAACTTAAAAAAAGAAAACAAAAAAACACCCTGTGTCAAACCTAAGCTAAAATTGTTATTCAGCAATTTGCAACACTTACTGTCATATTAAAGTCATTTTATTTTCGCTCTCTGGTTCTGTTCCTGTAACAAAACAGCAGAGCGGAGGGTTTCAGCAGGCGCTGGGGACGGCAGCCGAAACGCCCCTGGCATCGTGGCACAGCCTGGGACACCCGGACGGCTGCTGGTGCCGGGGACATTGTGCAGATGGTGGCGAATTGCACCAGAGGTGACAAGAATGCGGCGGTGCTGAGGCCTGTCTGGGTTGTGACGCACCACAAGGCACTCGTTAACACCCGGTGCCGCAGAGGGAACGGGGCAAAACACGGAAAATCGGCGACCGGAGCAAGGGTGCCAACCTCGCCGGCGTCCGCAACGCGCTACGGCGCGGTATTCCCAGCTGGAATATTCCCGGACACAGCATTCCCATCCGGGCAGGATGGCAGGCAAAAAAATATTCCTGTGCTTCTCTTTTCCTCAGTAAACTTGCCAAGGAAAGGAGGTTCTGCTCAGCAAGCAGGCACCACAAATGCTGGAAGCAGCACGTGTATAAACGGAGAGGTCGGATGTTTCAGTGCCCTCCGTGTTGCTCATCAGGAGATTCCCTAAGGCACAAACACACAGAGCACAGCGGAGCCTGGAGGCCTCTGCCCTTGGCCTTGGCTAACATGACTGTCCCTCTCTGCCTCATCTGTGCCATAAAACAACGAGCAGAGCGTTCCCATGCAGGGCTGGGAAGGATTTAGCACCTAGGGAAGGACTGATTTCGAGACCTGACAGCGTCTCCTTCCCTGATCCACGTCCCTGAAGAACACGGTGATGACAAACACTCGCTATGGCTCACGCGGCGGTGTCGGTACTCACTTTTTCAGCGGCTCTATGACTGTCTTTTGGATCTGATTCACCTGTTGAAAGCAAAAGGGATGATTGTACTCGCTGAGGAAGCCTGTTTGAACAAGGCTACGCGTTTGCACAGATCACAAACGAAGGTGCCGACAGAAAGGGAAGGTGGATCCGACCGGAGCCCGCGCGGCTCTCCCACGCTCACCTTCTCCTGGTTGAAGGAGTCCATCCTCTTCATCGCCGTGTCAAAGGCCGTCACCATGTCCAGGAAGGCGGGATCCTGCTCGCAGAGCGGGTTTGCCAGCAGGTCCGAGGAGATCTTGACGGCTGACTTGGACATGGCTGCGTGCAAAGGAAGCAGAGAGGTCACATCCCGGCTCCGGAGCGCTCCGCGGACACAACCCACACGGGACAGCGGGAGATGTTACCGGGGGTTAAGCGAAAACAACGGCAGAGCCACCAATTCATTCACGTAAACACTCAGAGAAACGTTTTATATAAGTTAAGTCTGGATCACTTAGATGTAAGGCTTGTGATGTTGCCAGAAATAATATCAGGCTAACAAAAGCAGTGTTTTCTTTAAAAGAAAATGTAGATTTTTTTTTTAATACATCTTTTCTCGACAGACTATTAAGTGTCACTCAGTCTCACTACAGCTCTTCCACAGCGAGGAAAAAAATCAGTCCATTAAGTCTTTCAAACAGCTTGACAAAAACGTGTCTTTGAAGAGGGTTTAGTGGTGGTGGAAAAGGCCGGGTGTCCGAACAGGCTCCGCACGAACGCTGTGGATGAGCCAGCAAAATCCTCCCTGAGCTTCCCGCCCATGGAAAGCACCTCCAGAAGCAGGAGAAAAGGATAACGGCTGCAGAGCAGAGACTGCTTCCCAAAAATAGGAACTCCCATTTGCAGCCTGAAGTTTCTACCTTGCTGCACGTTTCTGCTTGCTTTGCATCGCGCACCTCTTCCTTGCTGTCCGAGAGGAAAATCAAATCCCTATAACGGAGCACTACAAGACAATAACTATAGTATAGAATGGGAAAAAATGATGGAAAAAAGCAAGCATCAATATATAAGGGAGCAAAAAGGGGCAAAAAACCCCCATTGGTACTAAAAAAAATTGTTCTTTTCCTTCAGCACTGTTGCTGGGAGTTATTGCAGCTTTAAGATCAGAAAGGCAGATGCTTGAGCCGTGCTAGAGATGAGCTTTGGAAAGACTCCTACTGTACTAAGTCAGATATTAAAAGTTAAAGTCATCTGAATAATGGGGCTTAAGATCATAAATCAAGGGGTTAAACATTCTGATTTAAAGGTTACGCACAATTATACCGAGAGCTCAGAAGTTAAATGGCTGGGCAGCTCGATGCAGGAGGAGACGCTCCTCCGGAATAACAAAGCTACCGGATCCATCTATTATCCCAACACTAAGGGTTTAGACATCTAAACCTTTAAACAGATGGGCTATAATCCATATGTGTGACCGCATCTGAGGGAGGATTTGTGCCCAAGTGGGACACAGTGAAGAGTGGCAGGACTCCTTCAGCCGGAAGAGAAATTCCAAGTTTCCCTTCGCCGAGGCTGTAGGAAAGAAGGGGGACGCTGATGTTGGGATGGGGCTCCATGGGACTTCTCGGTTCCAACACTAGGCATTTCCCCTGAAAACGCCCGTGAAAAAAGCAACCCGGGATGCTCCAAACCCTGCAGAGCTCAGCAGGGCCTCGCGCTTCATTCCACAGGGAGAGCCCTCATCTCCTGTTAAAGAACATCCTCCTTAATACCATTTTTCGTTGGAAAAGAGGGTGGGGATAGGGACCTCCACGCTCCAAGCCGCTGCTAACGCTCCGTGCCCTTTCCCAGCCGCGCTGCAGCTGGCCCCGGGATCGCTCTTGTTCCAGCCCAGCCTGTTTTGGCAGAGGAGGACACTCCAACTGCTCCCATTTCGCAGCGAGCGTTTGCAGGCAGAGCGAATAACCAGCCCCCTCGACACGGAGGTGCGGTGGAAGAAATAAGACACTCGGGAGAACGCCGCGAGCTGATGCACCGCCGCGCTCAGCAGATGTGGGGGCTCCACGCGAGCCATCCTTGGCATCTAGTTGGATTTAATCCCCTTCCCTTTGCCTGTCCCTTCATGGGACCACCTTCGAAATCTCCCCTTGCACGCAGGATTTCATGCCTTTAAATGAGATCTTCCTGGATCTGGCCAAGGCTCATTTGTGACTCTGCCATGTAGCAGAACGGAAAAAGAAAGTCCTCCCACAGCTCCTCTGGGACTTGAAATGCTCCATATAAACAACGCCCACTGCAAGGGAGGGGAGGGGAATCCTTAACAAGGAAAAACTTAGCTAGGATCCCAACAACGGCCAGTCCCGCGCAAAGGGCAGTTTTCCCTTTGGAAAGGGCTCTTCCTGGCAGCGGCTCCTGCTGCTCTTCCCACTGTCCCCACCGGCACCGCGCAGGAAGCAGGACAGCACCGCAGCGCCCGGCACGAGGCCGTGTTGGGAATGGGGCTCAGACCCCCTCATTCCCTCATCCTTTGGATGCTGCCCTCCCAGGAACGCGCTCCCGTGGCTGCTCGGACACCGGATTC